TTCTTACTCCTTCCATGAGCTCCCAACCATTGCTTTCTTCCAACCTCGCCTTTTCTTCGCTTTGTAGAACCAGTAAGGCCGCGAGGCAAGATTACTGGTGATCTTCGTTTCCCGAAACTGCTTCCTCCACCTCTTCATACTCTATCCCCTCCATATTGTTGAACGGTCGTCGCTGCATGGGCCGTCCTCCTTGTTGTGTCGGCCGAACTCGACAAAACTTGGCTATGTGACCCATTCGTTCACATGCATAGCATTGGCGATTGTCACGAACTCCAGCTCCTCCTCGAACCATTCCATTATTTGCATAACCTTCTTGCAAATTTGGAACTCCTGGTCGCCTAATCTCACCTCCAAATCTTGGTGGTGGTCCTCTTGTTGGTGCAAAACTTTCTCTACGTCGAAGGTTTCCCAACTCCATCGGTGTTGGACCAGATGGATCTCTAAAATTGCTCACTTGTTCACCGTGTGTGACACCAAAAGCACCTGAAATTCGTTGAGCAATTGCGATTGCTTCATTCACAGTAGATGGATTGCTTACCATCACCTCCTTTTGAATTCGATCTTTCAAGCCTCGTTTGAACACGTCCAAGGCTTCAGCTCCACTCATATCCATGATAGATACTTGAAGATCACGAAATTCTTCGATGTACTCATGAATACCTCCTTTCTGCTTCAGATCCCACAACTTCATTCTTGCAGTTTGAAGAGAATCCACCGCTTGAAAATTTTGCAGAAGTCCTTCCTGCATTCCACTCCACGAAATGGTAGCACCTCGTTCTGAAAGCATTCTCTCCCATGTTGTGTATCATGTGAGAGCCTTATCCGTAAGATAAGATCTCATGAACATTCCTGCAATATAATCAGAAACATGAAAATGGGATAAATGAATATTCATCCTCATAATCCATCCCTCTAACACTCCCATTGCTCTACTCCCTTTGTAAGCTTCCACCTTACAGGATTTTCCCATTCGAAGCAAAAGATTTGCTTGATCTTCAATCTCTTGAAGACGTCTCCTATTTGCCTCTGCTGCATCAATAGGATTTGGTTCTGGCTGAACTTGGTAAGCTTGAACTTGAGGTTCAACTTCCATCTCTCCAACTCTCTCTCTCTCTACTTTCTCACTCTCTAATGCAAAGATTTTATCTTCCATGGCTTGCTGCTTGGTATGCCCATCTACTATCGCTTTTCTCAACTCCTTCATCTCTGCCATGATTGCATTGAGAAACCAACCCATATCAATTGATGTTCCCATGCTTTTTCACACTCCCTCTAATACAAAGTGAGTATAATCACTATGTGACCTCTCAACAAAGGAGTCACAAAAGGTGCAGGTGACTCTATCACAGCTCTATAGTACTCTTCTCCATAATTCCTCACAAGAAAATCTCTCCATATCCTCTTCTGTCTATATACTGTTCTAATCTCTACACAAGTGCTGAATCGAACCGGGACAGGTGGTTCGCGATTCAAATCCATGAAATAATTAGTATAGAATGTATATAGTACAATCCCAAGTCTCTCCATAAGTAACTATTGGAAGAATCAGTGGTACTCTTGACTCCATCACCCTAGTCATAAAATCTGCACCCCAACAAGCCACAAGGTACATCCAAAAATGATGTTTCTCCATGCAACGAAGGTGAATATCGAATAGGTTAGGAATTGGCCAGTGCGGTACTGGATTCCTGTCAATCCCGTCCATATCTGCAAAAACACAATTTCCCCCTTCCACCTCTCTCTACATGCAGATGAATGACCTCTGCCAGCCTCTATACACTCTCAAGACTACACTCCATCATCACTCACTTGCTATTCCATGAGGGGTAATCCACACTCAAGGAAAGAGCAAGGTCGCTCTGATACCATTGTAACACTAGGGTTTAGAGAGAAGTTCACTCGAAGATAGAAACGTAAACTCTGAAGATGAGAGATACCAACAATGGTTCTCCTCTCCCTTATATAGCTCTCACCAACAAGTACAAGGTGATAAGATCTAATCCCCACCATCCATACCACTCCTAGTGGATGGATGACGTGGCGGATAACCCTAACAAGCACACGGATCGCTAACGTGGCGCACCCAACTAACACACTAACTAACACACTCAATCCTTACCTACAAGCACACGGATTGCTGACGTGGCATTGTCAACTAACACATCCACTCTGTACCTACCAAGTGCGCGGATCGCTGACGTGGCAGCTATGACTAGTGCACACTAAAGTATCTACATCAATATTCAGAGTAACCTCTACTTTAGTTCTAACTAACTAAAGATGGTTACACCACCACAATACTAACAATTACCCACTCACGTCTTCGGCTTACGTGCACTTAGTTCTTCGAGTAAAATCAGTGTCGAAACACAAGTACACAGAGAGTCAAGCCAAACTCACTACTCGCAGGTAGAATCAGAGTCGAAGCTAGCGGGACTGACATATCCCTACGCGAAAGGCTCAACTCGAAGAACTGACAGTTCTTCGAGCTCGCCTCGAATATATCCCTGGAAGGTGTCGACTCCATCCAACGCTCCTCGCCCGTCTGCCGCGGCCCAACGTTAGCCGACTCCCAACGTTCTCCGACTCCAACTCGAACTCAACGTGTCTCAACTCAAATCGACCCAACGTCTCGAGCCATGACAACTTATAACAATAAAGTAGGAACAAATGACAGTTTTGATGATATATATATTAAATAACAAGAAAAATTTATAATAACAAAAATCTTAAATAATTTATCATAGTATATTTTTTCTATTAATATTTACTCTTTAAAACTTTAAATTTTGTAAATTTTACAAAATTGAATTCATAATTTTTTTGGTAAATGTACATTTTTAATTATTTAAATATACATTTATCATAAGACATTACTTCCAAACTGAAAGCATGTATATTTAAACATATATACATACGAACATGAAATTTGTACCTAACACATTATTTTTAGTATTTTAAAGTACTGACACAATATAATAAATGTTAGTACTGATTTTTTGTCTAAGAAATCTGTGTTTCATTTAGATTAATTATATTCTGACATATAATTTGAATATTTTCATAAAGAATTCAGTTACTTATACAATTTTGAAAGAGTATATTGTGATGTTGAGAATAATCTTTAGATTTTGCCGCTTTTATTATCATCTTACTATCAAGTGTAAGAATTAATGCCTGATTGTTTTTAACGAAGATTCTAATACTTATAAGATCAAAATCTAATTTGCAAAAAAAACGTAGGGTTTAGATTTAGAGTATTATTGTTACATAGTAGGTATTAGGTATTTGAACAGTAGTATCTTATATCTTTATAATTTAAAAATTTAAAAATTATTTAATCATGATAATTTTTGATGATTTAAAGAACTTTTTCTTAAAAAGAATCTCATGCATTTATATAAATCTTATATAGAAAAGATTCGTTATTCTTTGTATGATACACAGATTTTGCGTCTTATGGATATTTCATGGATGAACTTATTTACAATTATCAATTATATCTTATTTCAAAATATAAGTTATAAAGCTTATTTCATGGATAAAATTCATTGCCAAATCTTCTATTTTACATAAAATTAATTTCTTCAATGATTGAAGAAATATTTTCATATAGAAGAAATGAAAAAAATTTGTAATTTCTTCTTAATTTAAATTTCAATGCAATCATTATACATTATACACGAAGTAAACAATAAGGATAGTGGAGATCTACACCCTCCTGCAATATCAAAATTTAAGATTTTTCAACTCTCTCAAGCCCTCAGATTCCTGAACGGTCGAAAATCCTCTAATTACACTATGAAACCTGTAGTAATTTGTCTCAATCCCACTAACCCACTGCTTCCATGAAGGATTGTTGCGGTTGAACAGGTCTTTAACTAGCAACCCCACATGAAATCAATCCAATCACACAACCGTTTCCATGTAGAACCTTCTAGTTTGAACATGTCTTGACCTGCAAATCCACATGACATTGGCAAATTATTCAGTTGCGGTGTTCAAATGCTCATCTTTATGTAATTTCTTCACTAATAGAGAACTCATTGTTATATTCCCACGGAATAAATTCATGTCTTCCATAGAGTATTCTTATATTCCAGCTTATCAAGAGTTGTCTTGCTAATTTAAAAAGATAATGTGATTATTGTAGATGTAGCACTTCTTGCAATTCAAGCAATTCTCCAACTTTAATTGTTGGAATTTACTTTTCTGCAATAAAGGCTACCAGTTAACATCTATATCATTGTTTACCTCAATACAATAAGATCATGGCAAAGTTTTTAAGAACTTCTTGCAATACTCCAATCGCTATGGTGAGATCTTTTGATGCAATAAAGCCATCAATATCATTGTTTACTTCAATACGAAAAGATCATAGCAGAAGTTTTAAGAACTTCCTGCAACACTCCAATCGCTATGGTGAGATCTTTGGATGCAATAATCGCCATCAAGTACCATTCGTATGATTCTTTACCTCACTAGAATGAGATCAATGACAATTTGATTATTGTTAAAATTAAATCTGATTACGAAATTTCTCTTTCATGCATTACCCATAGTTTATTACCGCCTTCATCAACATTTTAGAAAAAATGCATGGAAGGCTTCAATCTTCCATATACACATTATGCATGAGAGTGAATTAACTGATCACTAGGATGCAAATTACATGAATTCTCTGGTATCAACGGCTACTTGCATGGTTCGAACAAGGAAAGAAGTCAATGTGTTATGCCGGTGTGGAACATGACAGTGATAAGCTCTCTACTACTGTATTTCGCTTGCTTCACTCCCCTTCGCAGTTGATTCAAATTTCAGCGGAAGTATGGGATGGAGTTTACCCACGACCCGCTAAAAGCGTACTCTACGGAGAGACATCTTCGTTCAGGCCTCTAGTGGAGGCAGGCAGAGAGAGGACAAGGGCGTGCAGATTTTCCCGCCAGGTTAGTCGAGACCAACGAAGCTTGTACAAGTAGCCGAAACCTGGAGCAGGACAGACTGCGATTTTCGATCCACTTATTCACTTTTCAAATCCAAATCCTTGAACAACTCAATGAACCTCCCGAAGAGGAGCGGGAACTGAGAACCCATCGCTGCTCGTCATATTCTCGGTCTCGAGGTGTCTTCGAGTGCCCGGATTTGGTGTCTGAGCTTGTGTGGGTTCGATCGCAGACATCAGCGGTCGCTTTGAAATTTTCCTCAGGTGTTTGATTTTGAGTCTTGGGAATCCCGGTTCTAACGAGGGCGAGATTTGTATGGGCTGCTCTGGCAGCGGAGAGTGAGGGTTTCAAACCTTGGTGGGCAGGAATTTGCAGAATTCGGGCACCATGGGACGGAATGTCGTCGAAATTTCGATGGGTCGTTGCTAGCTTGCTCTGTGGCTTCTTGATCGGCCAGTTTGTGCGAGAAAGAACTGTGGTCACTGTCGTGTTGTTCGCCTCACTGTTCTATCTCATGCGTGGGGACGTTTACTCCACCAGTCGCCTTCGTCTTCGTCTTCGGCGCTCTGCTCTTCCTGAGCTCTTCCTATGTGAAGAGAAGACTTCTGAGGAGAGCGAGAAGGTCGTCAAGGAAGGAATGGCGGAGATCATTGTCCTGGATGATGACGAGTCCCAAGAGCAGAGGATGCCCACTCAGCTTACGCTCACGCAGGAGCAGAGGAATCGAATTGCCCAGCAGAAAGAGATGGCATTGGCACGCCGACTGGCTAAGGAAGCCCAGAACACTCAAAAGTCTCTGTTGGAAGGGGTGTCTGCTCCTGCTGCAAACCTTTCGTCGATAGGCAAGAGTGATTATGCTCAAGGAGTTGGAGAGACCGCACCGGAGGCTCTTACTAGCGGCTCATCGGCTATCTATTCTGACTCAATACGTGGAGTTAAACGAGGGAATAGAGTTACAGACGAGCAAATTGATGAACTAGCAGTGGAGCACGGATGGGTGTCGGTGCGAAAGCGTCCCGTCCCAGGCCAAAGCTTCGGCCAGGTTGCGAGCTATCCCACCAGTACGAGGGGATGGAGTCCGGGAATGGGTTCGGCCCCGGATACAAATCAACCCCCCAGCGAGACATCTGAAGACGCCGCGGACAAAGTGAACGAGGGAGTTCAAACTGCGAAGCTGGATTGGCAGAAGCCCAAGCCGAAAATCAAACTATCTAAGCAGCAACTGAAGGTTCTTAAAGCTATATCGATAGGGGATTCTGTGTTTTTAACTGGATCTGCCGGCACTGGAAAGAGTTTTGTGCTGGAGTTTGCCATTAGAGTTCTTAAAGCGAAGTATGGTGCTAGTTCAGTGTACGTCACCGCCTCTACGGGCCTGGCTGCATGTGCGTTGGGTGGCACGACCGTCCATTCGTTTGCAGGAGTGGGTTTGGGAACGGGGAACAAGGAATCTCTTGTTGATAAAGTGAAGAGCAGGAGAGAATCCCGGACCCGCTGGCAGTCTGCTAAGGCACTTGTAGTCGATGAAATCAGCATGATTGATGGTGAATTTTTTGATAAGCTGGATTATGTTGGTAGAATTGTGAGGAAGGATTCTCGACCTTTCGGTGGTATACAGCTCGTAGTAACCGGGGACTTCTATCAACTGCCGCCCGTGAATCCTGAAAACCCTGTAAAGTACTTCGCATTTGAAGCCGAGTGCTGGAACAGGTGCTTTCATCTTCAGGTAGAGCTGCTACATGTTTTCCGCCAAGCCGATGAGGAATTTGTTGCTCTACTGAACGAAATTCGACGTGGAGGATGTTCCTCTGAACACGAAGAAAAGCTTCGGAAATGCTCTGGGCCTGTCGATCAGTCATCTGGGATTGCACTTACTCGCTTGTATCCCCGCAAGGTCGATGTCAGCCGGGAAAATGAGCAGAACTTGCGAGCTCTTAACCAGCCAACTGTCATGTTCATCGCGAAGGACGAGGCACGAACCGAGTTTGCGAAGAGGCAGCTGGATAATGTGAGGGTTGAAGCAATAGTCGCCCTCTCAGTTGGTGCTCAGGTAGGACCCGATTCTCGTCACTTTATCAGATGTTTGTGGCCATTGTTGTCGAATCGCATTTCTTTTCCTTGTGTAAACTCTCAACCCCTCCCTCATAGCCGCGGCCATGGCCATCTCAGTTCTGTAAGATTACCTCAGGTTGTTACCTAACCCTATGTTACATGAAACTTGGGAACGGCTGTTGTGGCAGCGAGATCAAGAGTCACTAATATTAGAAACACGTGAATGCTGCAGGTCATGCTGGCAAAGAATTTGGAAACAAGTGTTGGTCTTGTCAATGGAGCAAGGGGTGTGGTTGTGGGATTTTCCACACCAGATGACCCTCGTGCTTCGGAAGTAAACAAAGCTCACCTATCTGTTAACCCCACCGGATCATGGCCTCTTGTAAAGTTTGCTTGTGACAACGTGGAAAGGTTGGTGGCACCCGAAAGTTGGAGTATTCTCGAGGGGGATCTGGAAGTGGCGAAAAGGACACAGGTGCCACTTTCTCTAGCCTGGGCTTTGAGCGTTCATAAGTGTCAGGGAATGACCTTAGACAGGGTTGAGACAGATCTTTCGAGGGCTTTTGATTATGGCATGGTTTATGTGGCCCTTTCTCGTGTGAAGAGCCTCCAAGGGTTAAAACTCACAGGGTTTGATCCAACTAAAATCAGAGTCCATCCAAAGGTGGCTCACTTTTACGAAAACTTGGAGACTGGTACTGAAGCTCCCCGGGAAATTGATCTAGATGACTAACTCCAACCTCGACTTCAAAGTAAGAGGCCTATCCCTGAGCCAAATTTTATCTCTCCTAGTCACAAGGTAAACGGTCGGCATCTCGGCGATCTCTATGCAAGGGCTCAGCAATCAAAGGTTTTGCACGTACACTTATTCCAGATATCATTTGAATTTTTTAACTTTCTATGTGCTGTACCTACTCTCCAGTTTGCATAAGCAGAACTAGTGGGGCACGTGATTCTTGTGGCGTGGCTTTTTTCGACGTTTTCATCCCCGTGCTCTGTCTTTGATTCTTTGTTGTGATCTCGGTAATTACATTTAAATTTTGCTTGTTTTGCAGGGGGGTTTTGGAGCCTCACGCTTCGGATTGTAAAGATTGCAACATGGCTCATAGAGCTAAAGTTGTACGAGATGCCTGTACGATAAGATTATGGGGAGTTGTCGCCTCCTTTCTGCCAGTAAATCGTGTATGCAATGTACATAAGGATAGCCATATCGCGGAGGAAATTCACCTGCACTTGTGCCATGCAGAGTTCTCATACCACTCTTCTCGTTACTGAACGGTATGTTCAAGTCCTTTCGGGATGCCGTTGTCTTTTACCCAATCGATATTTGTTGTATATCTTTTGTTCACCTTCTCCTGATCCTTTGTTAGGATTATTTTTTCCTTCTGGCACAGTGCCAGCTAGGTGATTGAATCGCTGTATCTGTACCAAGTAGGAGGTTAGGAGTAGAGTTTATGACGCAATTTATATCGGCATTTTTATCGAACAGTGCACGTTCGATATTTGTAATGAGTAATAATCTTCCGAATTTTTTTTTGAGGAAGATGGGAACAAGACCATTTTTGAGGACGTGGTGTGAGCCAACTCTGAAATTTTGACAGGATTTCAGAAATACTCGGCCCTGCTTTTGCCCAGAAGAAAATGAGTTAAATTTCAAAAGTTCGTGTTTGGAAGTAATGACTTGCATTAAATGTGACTTCGCTATCCTTCCTCCTCTTGTTTTTGGGCGCCTGATACTCTGAGCTAGTCCATCGAGTCAAGATAATGTTTGCGGTAGCTTTACAAAACAGACTTCTCTGAAGGAGTTCGGATAACAGCCAGGATTATACTGGGAGGTCAATTGGCACAAGAAACTAATTGAAATGATTATCTATACAGTTGTAAAACGTCAATGATTGCAGTTTCGACACAAATAGCTCACTAGAATCTCAACTCAATATACATTCACGTCAATAAATAAAATGAGATCTATTCACGCTTTCGTACATTCACTACCTTTGGACTGCGATTTTGGTAGCTCACAAAGCTTAGTATATAATGCCATTCGTGAGTTGATGGATAACGTACTATGTGACGCCCAAGGGAATCTGCAGCAATCCGTCAGCAATCCTCGACTTGAAGACGTTGTTGGGCATTCACTGAACGAGGCCGAAACCCTCATGGATGGTTTCTGTCGATGTGGAAGTGATTCAGGCTCTTTGCGAGCACAAGCAAGTCTCTAGTTTTCAAAGTCTGGGTGAAGTGTCCAGAAGGACGACATCCAGAAAACCTTCGAGTATGAAGAGAAACTCCGTGGCTTTGCATGAGTCGGGTGGGTTCACACTGCAACCAGTGTGAACACTTGGGTTACTGTAACCGGGCAGACGGAAATCCAACCATCTAAAGTCACATGGTGGAGATGTCCTGGCAACCTTTGGCAATGATCCTCAGGAGAATCCGCCGTCGTTGGTCGAGGGGTCTACTCCGGGAGGGATCATGAAGCACGAGCTCTAGATTGGGATGCATGCGCTTCCAGAAACCCAGTTACAACCGCAGCAAGAACCACAAACGCCAACATGATGCTCATTCACGCCGTTATTTTATACTCGAGATGATTAAGAGGACGGAATCTTATTCTCGTTACTCAAAATTTCACTGGCTGTTTATAATACTAAATAGCTAGTGATTCACATACTTATGTGAGTCGATGCGATGAGTCTGCTGGTGCGATGTTAAAACCTTGGATGTAGAGAACTCATTCAATGGAAAAGCTATTCGATCCACGTACGAGTGCGAACAATGAGAATGTGCGATGGGAATCCCATAATTTGTTGCTTTTGTGGATTCGGAGTTTGACGTCAAGATGCTGATTAAACTTATCTTTGACATGTGATTCAAAATTATCCACGTGTACAAAATGAAAATGAATATGAATATATATATTCTGCATGTGCTTTCAATATCATCATAAATCAAGTATATGTACATAGGTGAATTTTACTTACTATTTTACGCTCAAGTTTAATTCTAGTAGAGTTCGATATACTGTTTTCCAGTATGGTTTGTATACTCACATAACTAATTACAAGAATTTATATTGCTAGAAGTTATGAAGCTGCGATATTTTAGAAATGTCATCTTATCAAATAAATCCGATCATTCGACACTACCCTTTTCACATATTTATATATCTTTCATAATTTTATGTGAAGTAGTTAACTTTATTATCCATAATATCATATATTTTAGAAATTTGGTTGAACGAGACATTTTTAAATTTAATCAATTAGATACTTCTTTCGCTCATAAATATTATCGTCATTGAAGGTGACATTAACATTTTACTGTGCATTTGTTGATGAAATTAGTAATTCAGATGTTTATTTCTCCATCCATTACATGCTAGATTAACTTTGAGCTAGAAGTACTAGCCTCTATCTACATTAAGGATAACTGCCATCTAACTTAGGATTTTTAGAATACCTCCAATATTTCTGAGGTTTATATTTGTTAACATGATCACAAAAGTGTATTAAATTTTTAACCAAAAACACTAGAATCCACAAATATCAATTGAGAATGTTGAGAAAACATGCATACACAATGTTGGAAAAAAATTACGTGGCGAACCAGTATGTAAGTGCACGGAGTAAAGCTCTAAAGTGACAAACCACTTTCAAGCTACGTTCACCAGAATAATACAGTCTTTTATCTAAAAAATCTGCAAAATGGTCAAAACTGGCTGTGTATCTTTTCTCTATATATACATGGTAACAGAAGCACGAGATCTATTTCTAACTAGGATAAGTCTACTCCTAGCCTTAACTTGAATCAAGTTAACTAGAGTTTAATCCAAGATTTAAATTACTATTAACTATCATCTCTTTAATTAATGTGGAGAGAATATACTCCATAACCTATATAATTGTTTTGCGGAAAGTTATAAAAGTAAATCGAACATATGACACTTTTTACCCTGAAATTGATTCAAACCAAATTGTAGCCAAAACAGATAGAAGAGAAATATAGAGAATTAACAAAAGTTGTTAGTAAACTCTATTTGTGCTCCTTGTACAAAACTTGCATAGTAACACAATGTATAATACTGTGGTGTCTAGTTTTTTCGTTTTTCTTTAAAAATCAAGAAAACTAAAAGATATTTGTCTAGAAAGTAGTTGTACGAGTTAGAATGAGCAGCTTATGAGGAGATATGACAGGATTAGTTACAATTAGTCTTCGTCCGAAGATCTTCGGATCTTCGGATCTTTAGCGCTTCCTTTTTGGGCATTGCAAGAGCTGCGTCTTCGACGAAGACATAGGATTCAATTTTGAATCACGCAACGGGCCGGAAGACGTTCGCACGCGTCGGGAATTCTAGTGGGCGCGTGAGGAGGCAATGTTAGGGCTTCAAGGGTAAGGGCAGTACGAGAAGTCCTCGCGCGGACATTGCAATATCGAGCAAGAAGGAGGGAGCGAGAGAAAGAGCGAAATCGACCAACCTTGCTAGCAGTGAAGATGCGAATCAAAGTCATGGGGCCAAAGAAGAGTGACAAGGTGCGGAAATTGGTTCCCATGAAGGTGCCCTACAAAGAATTGTAACCCTTCAGACGTGAACTGAGCGAGTTGCGACTTGAATTGCTCTTTTGGAATTGGAATTGCGTCTCGGCGAGTATCTGTAAGGAGATAATAGATAAAAACCAGACCGAGGGCGTGGAGCTTCGAGGTAATCCCATGCTCTGGACAATTGAGCATTGGACGAAGGTGATGGTAACGTGCGCAGGTAGCGACGGAGACCTTTTGTTTGAGAAGAGTAGCATGGGACTTACGCGCACCGAAGAATTCTCTTACGGACCACTCTTCAATTTCGGGAGATAGGGAATGAACGGGTGGAAGACAACGGATTACATAAATCCGAAGAGAAAGGCGATATCGTTGGAAATTATGCACATCTTGCGATCAGCGCGTACGACGTATGTGACGGCCTGGCAGGTAGGGTTCTTTGAACGAATTTTGAAGGGACAAGGAGTACACTGGGCAAGGATCTTTCACGATCTTGTCTGGGTGAATGCGTCAGATCGGTGGACAGGATCATTGGTCAATCATCTCACTTTCTTCCTGGTGATGGGGTTGCTACCCTTCATTTACCGAGGCATGGGGTTGCTTACGAGAGAGGAGGAGAAGCGATTTCCAAAGGAGCGACAAATCTTGACGGCCGAGTCCAACGAAGGGACCAAAGACGATACCCGTCGACCCTCCATTCCAGCACAGACGACAGCCCGAGGACCAGTTCAGGTGGAGGTTGTGCGGAGACGGGAAAAGTCGGAGAGACGAGTGGCGAAGAGAAGGACAGTAGTGAGCGATGACGAGAGAGATTTGGCACTTGAAGTAAAAAGAACGGAAACGGAAGTAGATGTGATCAGGCAGTCGAGAACTTGCGCAAGACGAAAGAAGAGGGCGAATCGGGAGTTAGTGGCAGCAGAAGTATCAGATAGCAGCGTAGAAAAGACAGTTGCCCCGATTGTGAGAATACCTGAAGTCGCAGTGGCCGAGTCAACACAGCCTGTAGGGAGGGAAGGATCTTCAGGGGTATTGATCGAAGTTCCAGCAGAAGCACTGGCGGAACCTTTGAAGTAGTGAATGGAGATAGCTAGTCCAAATTCTCTGTCTTCGGAGCGAACACATACTGTGGGAAGTGAAGGAATACCACATCCGAAGACGAGCGAGGAATTGGTAAAGGAGCTAACATTAAGCGACGAAGTACTGAAACAGATTGTGGCACAGGTTGGAGGGACGGTGGTAGATGCCCCAGACAGTGCATTACCGACATCTCCTACATGAGAAGTGAGGCCTGCAGAAGAGACGAAGACTTCGTAGGAGGAATCAAAGAAGTTAGTCGTTTCTTTTCTCGACTTCTTGCAGGATAATGTGGTCCCATTACTGAAGTATCTGGATGGGAAGAGAGAGAAGTATGCTGTGTCCAAGGAGGTAGAATTTTATTTGGAGATGATAAGAAATAGACCGCAGCTCAAGAGAGCACTAGCAGTAAAGAGGGAGTGGGATTTTGCGACTGAATTGGCACAGGAGCGAGCGGCAAACTTGGCAACAGAGTGCGCGGCAGTGAAGGTGACATTGCAGGAGCGAGAAGCCTTGTTTCGAGAGAAGGAAATTGAGTGCGAAGTACTGCAATTGAATCTGGAGAAGGAATCCGGACGATGTACAGAGTTGTGAGGGTAAGTGCCAGGCGGAACTCCGACGTGTGGAGGAGCTATCAGCAAGTCTGACGGAGGAGGACTGAAAGCATGAGGAGGAATTGACGAATTGGGCCAAGAAATTGACGGATTGTGGATCGGCCAGAACTGCGGAGGTCGAATGTAAATTGAAGGTTGAATCGGAATGTCGACTGTTGCAAGAGCAGTTAGGTAAGGCGGACATGAGATTGCCGGAGTCGCAAAGGAGAATGGAAAAGACAGAGGAGGCCTACCGTCATCTGCGGGACAAGACAACCGACGGGTTGAAGTTACGGTTGGAGAAGAGTCTGAACGGGTTTGCGATGTGGGGATTGCAAACGGTAAAGTGGGTAAAGTGGCTGAAGTTAGATTCGCTCGAGCGGCGGTTTATGAGCGCAAAGACCGGCGGATCCGCCGAACACAAACAAATTGTAGAGTTAGTTAACACATTTTCAGAAGAATTGAATGA